ACCAGGCGAGGTACTTAACATCTCCTAGCCACCGTGATGATGATGAGAGAGACATGCAAACTCCAAATATACAGCAGCAGGTGCCAGGGTCGGGATCGAACCCACGACCTCCTGTATACCAGGCGAGGTAGTTAACATCTCCTAGCCACCGTGATGATGATGAGAGAGAGAGACACGCAAACTCAAAATATACAACAGGCATCAGGGTCGGGATCGAACCCACGACCTCCTGTAGACCAGGCGAGGTAGTTAACATCTCCTAGCCACCGTGATGATGATGATGAGAGAGACACGCAAACTCCAAATATACAGCAGGCGTCAGGGTCGGGATCGAACCCACGACCTCCTGCATACCAGGCGAGGTAGTTAACATCTCCTAGCCACCGTGATGATGATGAGAGAGAGAGACACGCAAACTCAAAATATATAACAGGCGTCAGGGTCGGGATCGAACCCACGACCTCCTGTAGACCAGGCGAGGTAGTTAACATCTCCTAGCCACCGTGATGATGATGATGATGAGAGAGACACGCAAACTCCAAATATACAGCAGGCGTCAGGGTCGGGATCGAACCCACGACCTCCTGCATACCAGGCGAGGTAGTTAACATCTCCTAGCCACCGTGATGATGATGAGAGGGAGAGACACGCAAACTCCAAATATACAGCAGGCGTCAGGGTCGGGATCGAACCCACGACCTCCTGTATACCAGGCGAGGGAGTTAACATCTCCTTGCCACCGTGGCACCCAGATTGTGGTGGTGGGGGGAAAGAATTAAAGCGGAACTTGGAGGTCTGTAATCAACTGTGAAACCGCTGTAAGTCAGAGAAAAGAAACGGTAATTTGGTAACGAAGATAATCAACTGGATGGAGAGTAAATGAGCATCACACGGCAGCGTACATATAAAATGGGTACCACATTGTGGGGAAGCCAAGAGCGGCTGGTGGCGCTACGGACAGATTCGCCTCATGCCAGAGGCATGCAGAATTTCCACCGTCATATCAGATAAGCACCAGCTCAAATTGAGAAGGGATGACCATGAACTTGAATCTGTTATGGTGAATAAAATCACTGCACTTGGGATTGAAGCGTGCCTGAACGGGTGTTGACCAGGATTACCACGTGTTATAGGCTCCTGCAAGGATATGAAAGTTTGCTGTGCAGCCAAGGAAGTAAGGTAGATATTATCGAGATGTTATCTACCTCGCTTGGTATGCAGGAGGTCGTGGGCTCGACCTCGAACCCTGACGCCTGCTGTACATTTGGAGTTTGTGGTGGCTGTCTTCCCGTGGTCGTGGGGATTTTTCTCCGGGTCCTCCGGGTTTTCTCTCCACATTTAGCATCAACATCGCGTATTTTAGAGTTGTTTAGCTGCTATACATTTCCACGTGATGATAAGCTCACTCCGTTTGTGCTATCATTTGTGATTGCCAGGTCGCTTCTGAAAATGAACTGCATAGCTCAGTGGGGCCTTACCTGGCAAAATAAAAACACGTTAATAGTTTATTGGTGCTCTCGTGCCTACGCTTCCCCGCCTTCACAAAAAACCTGCACTGACCAGCACGGTGAAGTATGCTCAAGTAATTTCCACAAAGACAAAGATCCACCATTTAGCCTGAACAGACGGTTGGGGGCAAGTGCGGTTTGCGAGCAGCACCTATGAAGGCCGGCACGCCACAAGAGAGAATGTGTGGCCAGCACCACGCCTGGCCGTCTTTGTCTCCCCAGTGGCAATGTTTACACACCGCACCAGGTACTCATTTGAGGCCGACTCGACCTAGGGGAGGCCAATGATTGGTTCTGCTAATCATCACTGGTGTTGGTGGCCGTGAGCGGGAATCGAACACCGGTCTCTGCTGGGTTTCGTAGCGCTAATCTGCTACACCACCGCTCCCCAATGCACACACGGGGAGAGGAGAGGCCTTCATCCAGCAGTAGATAAACAAAAGAGGGATGCACATGTTTAGCGTGGAAATACGTCCACCGCTTTGGGACGGCGATCTTCTTTTGAGATTAAGATGCTCGTTTACAATTGAGCCTTTCCCGTAATGTTAACAATCACCAAAGGAAAGACTGAGTTAAGGATCATAATTGCGCCACTGTTTAAGATCTAACAAATGATTCGGGAGGTCATTCAGAGGTCAGAGACTCTGAAATGGCAAAAACCCGAAATAATGCATTGGAAAATCCAGATTTCTGGCACTGCATGCAATTATGTATGTACGTGTGTGTGTGTGTTCAACTTGTGTCGCACCCTACTTAGCCAAGCGTGCTAATCGGAGTTGCAGGGGAAGGACAACAAACTAAACACACCAAAGCAGTCGATGGGGAGTGTTTAGTCTATGGGCAGTGTTTAGTCTATGGGCAGTGTTTAGTCTATGGGCAGTGTTGAGTCTATGGGCAGTGTTGAGTCTATGGGCAGTGTTTAGTCAATGGGCAGTGTTGAGTTTATGGGCAGTGTTGAGTCTATGGGCAGTGTTGAGTCTATGGGCAGTGTTGAGTCTATGGGCAGTGTTGAGTTTATGGGCAGTGTTTAGTCAATGGGCAGTGTTGAGTCTATGGGCAGTGGTGAGTCTATGGGCAGTGTTTAGTCAATGGGCAGTGTTGAGTCTATGGGCAGTGTTGAGTCTATGGGCAGTAATCTAGATTTGAAGTTTTCGTGACTGCAGGGATCTATACTCTTTGGTTCTTTCGGTAAAGTCACGTAGGTATAAAATAAAATGAAATTGGCAGTGTTTAGTCTATGGGTAGTGTTGTGTGTATGAATGTATGTTGAACTTCTCTCGAACCGCACATAGCCAACCGTGATAATCGGAGGTGCGGGGGAAGGACACCTAACTAAACACACAAAAAGCAGTTGTGAGTCAATGAGTTTTCAATATAGATTTAACCCAGGTTGTCAATTGGAGCGAGTTTATTGTCTTCGCCACGCCACCTATAAAACTAAACTATTAAACTTGTATTATTTCACCAGGTAAGACCCACTGAGTTATGTAGCTCTTTTTCAGAAGCGACCTGGCTATCACAAATGATAGCTCAACGAAGTGGCTTATCATCACGTGGAGATTTACAGCAGCCTAATACTCTAAACACGTGATGTTGATTCCAAATGTAGTGGGAAAACCCGGAGGAGTCGGAGAAAAATCCTCGCAACCAGGGGAAGAGAGAGATGCAAACTGCAATATGCAGCAGGCGTCAGGGTCGGGATCGAACCCACGATCTCCTGTATACCAGGCGAGGTAGTTAACATCTCATAGCCACGGTGGCGTCTCCCTCACACCCCCCCAAACCTGGTTTAAGCAGAGTTGTGGCAGCTGATACCTGGATTCGAATTTCGAACTCTGCCTCTGTAGTGGGTGACTCGTTTCAATGTCTCTCACTCAAGAGAGAGTCCCAGGCCAGAGAGTGAGTGAGTGTTCGACTCTCTTGGTCACCCGGGCCCACCGGTCTAAGCAGAGTGGTGGCAGCTTCGAATTTTAATCGCAGGCTCTCAAGCGATGCCAGCTGAGTGTCTTCCCGACTCTCTGGGCACACCCCAGCCACTTCGTCCTTGGGGGGTTTATTTTATTTCTTAACTCGTGACCCCTGGGAAGAAGAAGAAGAAACCCGTTCGGAACGTCAGGGTGTTGCAATGTAACGACGCGGGGGAGTTTGCGGGATAAAAACATATGAGAAAGACGTGACCTTCCTAAAGCTACTCGAGGCCAGGCGCAGCCGCACGCACGTCAACCGAGGACTTTGAAACATTCGCCCCACGCACTGATGCACAACTCAGAACTTTACTGCCGTATCCCAGAGTGCGTTGGGGTTGTACCCACGTAACAAAACATAAAAAAGAAACAAATACACAGAGAAGAACAGAAAATAAGGGTCAGACGAGTACCGTAATTATAAACGTAACTAACCTATTAACTTTTTTTTATTTTATGTTAGCACGTAAGGCCCCACTGATCTCTGTAGCTCTTTTTTCAGAAGCGACCTGGCAAACACAATTGATAGCCCATCGAAGTGGGCTCATCGTCATCATGTGGAAATGTGGAGCATCCTCCAAATAACTCTAAACGCGTGGTGATGTCGATCCCGAACGTGGAGGGGTAAAAAAAAACCCGGAGGACCTTGAGAAAACTCCGCGCGACCACGGGGAGAGAAAGAGAGACACGCAAACTCCAAATATACAGCAGCAGCAGGTGTCAGGGTCGAGATCGAACCCACGACCTCCTGTATACCAGGCGAGGTAGTTAACATCTCCTAGCCACCGTGATGATGATGATGATGAGAGAGAGACACCGCAAACTCCAAATATACAGCAGCAGCACCAGGCGTCAGGGTCGAGATCGAACCCACGACCTCCTGTATAACGAGCGAGGTAGTTAACATCTCCTAGTCACCGTGATGATGATGATGAGAAAGAGACACCGCAAACTCCAAATATACAGCAGCAGCACCAGGCGTCAGGGTCGAGATCGAACCCACGACCTCCTGTATAACAGGCGAGGTAGTTAACATCTCCTAGCCACCGTGATGATGATGATGAGAAAGAGACACCGCAAACTCCAAATATACAGCAGCAGCACCAGGCGTCAGGGACGAGATCGAACCCACGACCTCCTGTATAACAGGCGAGGGAGTTAACATCTCCTAGCCACCGTGATGATGATGATGAGAAAGAGACACCGCAAACTCCAAAGATACAGCAGCAGCAGCAGGCGTCAGGGTCGAGATCGAGCCCACGACCTCCTGCATACCAGGCGAGGTGGTTAACATCTTTGAGCCATCCGTTAGTAGGGTAGGCAGGCACACAAGTGATTGGGTAGGTAGCTAGACAACTCCGTAGGTAAGTAGTTAAGGTACGTAGTTCTGCGAATAAGCCGTCTGGTGTGGTCGACAAATCCCTGTGCAGCTGCGACCCCACACAACGCAACACACCTGAAGCGAGTGTCACGGTGAATAGGGCATTTGTCTTTAAATCGACGTCTGAAAAACTGATAGCAAACTCACCCAGAGTTGCGGACAGGAGGAGCAGCAGCTGGACGGCTATCATCACACGCTGCGCAAAGCAGAGTGTTTCCATGCTCGCACGTCCGCCTTTGTCTCTCTCTCTCCTCTCTCCAACACCAGCACACACAGACACTAGAAGTCACTCGCTCGCTCGCCTTTCTCTTGGCTCTCACTTTGTATGCAAGGAGGGGGAACGAACAATCGAAGCGGGGAAGAGGCCACGTGACGTTGAGGAATCGATTCGCCGGTTGGGTAATCGACGGCTTTCGATTCGCTCCAAAAGTGATGACAGTGATCATTATCAGTTTCATTTATTTTATTTAGGTATAGCCCTGTGAGCCATTCGGCTCTTGAATAGGGTGCAACTAGAACAAACAAAAACACGAACAAGAAAAACATCTTAAAGTGACTATGTGACTGTGCAAACAGAACGTCCATGAAAAAACAGCTAAATATTCCTGAAAAAAGCACCGTACACCAACGCTGTGTGCAAAAAATCCCAGTGGGATGCAAGTCAAACAACAACAACAACAACCACAAGAAAACTTAGATTAAGGCATCAGTCTAACTCCGTACTACAACAAAACAAACATGTCCAAACCAAAAAACGTATTCGAAATCACCAAAAAATAAAGCCATAATTGCAACGTAACAGTGATCACAGGGACTGTGACCGAATTTTTACAATAAACTACATAAATAACATGTAACACCAGATCCTAAAGCCATAGCTGGCTGCATGAGTTACTCCACAACAACAGAAGCATCAGTCGGAGTATAAAAAATGTCAATGCACCTTTAAGATCAGCACGCTAAATAAAAATACAGATAATACTTTGCAGCGTCATCCGGAGCGAAACATTTTTTATTTTACGCCAATGAATAGCAGTGGCAGCTAGGGGTGTACAACTCCTCTAGAGCAGTTTTGAGAGAAAACCTCATTGGTAGCGATTCAAGTTACAGTTTATTGGCAAAAACATTCCAGACCCTGGGGGCATCAATAGCAAAGGCCCTTTGCTATTGATGTTAAAGGAGATCAATGTTGATTTGAGTGGTGATGGTGCTGATGACGATGATGGTAGTGATGGCGATTAATGCTGATGTGAGTGGTGATGGTGCTGATGGCGATGATGGTAGTGATGGCGATTAATGTTGATGTGAGTGGTGATGGTGCTGATTATGATGGCAGTGATGGTGATTAATGTTGATGTGAGTGGTGATGGTGCTGATTATGATGGCAGTGATGGTGATGAATGTTGATGTCAATGTTGATGGTGCTGATGATGGTAGTGATGGTGATTAATGTTGATATGAGTGGCGGTGATGGTGACGGGTAGTGGTGATGATGGTGTTGATGTTAATGGTGACGATGTGGGTGATTATGTTGATGTTAAAGGAGATGATAGCAAAGGAGAATATATTTGTTATCAAATTACCGTTTCTTGCTTCTGGAATATCATTCCTGCTGTTGCACAATTGACACGAGACCTACAAGTTCCGCTTTAATTATTTACCCCACCACCACTATCTGGTGGCAAGATGTTAACTACCTCGCCTGGTCTACAGGACGGCCGTGGGTTCGATCCCGACCCTGACGCCTGCTGCTGAATATTCGGAGTTTTCTTGTCTCTCTTTCTCCCCGTGGCCGCGTGGACTTTTCCCTTCACCTTTGGAATCAACACCACACGTTTTAGAGTTACTTGTTTGCTATAAATGTCCACGTGATAAGCCACTTCGTTGGGCTATCATTTGTGATTGCCAAGTCGCATCTGGAAAATGGCTATACTGTATAGCAACTCAGTGCGGTCTTACACCTGGTAAATAAAACAAATAGTTAATTAGTAAATAGTTAAATGGCCCGTGAGGTGCCACACGAAACTATTTTTATTTTACCAGCCTGACCTGAGCTATATAGCTCTTTTTCAGAAGCGACCTCGCTACACATGATATCCCAGTGAGATGGGAGTTTATAACATCCCAATAACTCTAAACGCGTGTTTCTAAATGTGGAGGGGTAAACCGGAGGACCCGGAGACAAATCTACGCAACCACGGGGAGAGAGAGACATCCAAATATATAGCAAACGTCGGGGTCGGGATCAAACCCACGAACTCCTGTATACTATACGAGGTAATTAACATCTCCCAGCCACCGAGTTGCCCACGTAGGCAGAGTTCACAGCCCATACGCTTGGTAATTTTCCACCCACAATGCCCCTCAATAACGCAACATCTATGGACAATGTTGAGTCTATGGGCAGTGTTGAGTCTATGATGCAGTGTTGAGTCTGTGGGCAGTGTTGAGTCTATGGGCAGTGATGAGTCTATGGGCAGTGCTGAGTCTATGGTGCAGTGTTGAGTCTATGGTGCAGTGATGATTCTATGGGCTGTGTTGAGTCTATGGGCAGTGTTGAGTCTATGGACAGTGTTGAGTCTATGGGCAGTGCTGAGTCTATGGTGCAGTGTTGAGTCTATGGGCAGTGGTGAGTCTATGGGCAGTGTTGAGTCTATGGGCAGTGATGAGTCGATGGGCAGTGCTGAGTCTATGGTGCAGTGTTGAGTCTATGGGCAGTGTTGAGTCTATGGGCAGTGTTGAGTCTATGGGCAGTGTTGAGTCTATGGGGCAGTGTTGAGTCTATGGTGCAGTGATGAGTCTATGGGCTGTGTTGAGTCTATGGGCAGTGTTGAGTCTATGGGCAGTGTTGAGTCTATTGGGCAGTGTTGAGTCTATGGGGCAGTGTTGAGTCTATGGTGCAGTGATGAGTCTATGGGCTGTGTTGAGTCTATGGTGCAGTGTTGAGGCTATGGGCAGTGGTGAGTCTATGGGCAGTGTTGAGTCTATGGGCAGTGATGAGTCTATGGGCAGTGCTGAGTCTATGGTGCAGTGTTGAGTCTATGGACAGTGTTGAGTCTATGGGCGGTGTTGAGTGTATGGGCAGTGGTGAGTCTATGGGCAGTGATGAGTCGATGGGCAGTGCTGAGTCTATGGTGCAGTGTTGAGTCTATGGGCAGTGTTGAGTCTATGGGCAGTGTTGAGTCTATGGGCTGTGTTGAGTCTCTGGGCAGTGTTGAGTCTATGGGCAGTGTTGAGTCTATTGGGCAGTGTTGAGTCTATGGGCAGTGCTGAGTCTATGGTGCAGGGTTGAGTCTATGGACGGTGTTGAGTCTATGGGCGGTGTTGAGTGTATGGGCAGTGGTGAGTCTATGGGCAGTGATGAGTCGATGGGCAGTGCTGAGTCTATGGTGCAGTGTTGAGTCTATGGGCAGTGTTGAGTCTATGGGCAGTGTTGAGTCTATGGGCAGTGTTGAGTCTATGGGGCAGTGTTGAGTCTATGGTGCAGTGATGAGTCTATGGGCTGTGTTGAGTCTATGGGCAGTGTTGAGTCTATGGGCAGTGTTGAGTCTATTGGGCAGTGTTGAGTCTATGGGCAGTGTTGAGTCTATGGGGCAGTGTTGAGTCTATGGGCAGTGTTGAGTCTATGGGCGGTGTTGAGTCTATGGGAAGTGTTAAGTCTATGAGGCAATGTTGAGTCTATGGGGCAGTGATGAGTCTATGGGCAGTGATGAGTCTATGGGCAGTGGTGAGTCTATGGGCAGTGTTGAGTCTATGGGCAGTGTTTAGTCTATGGGGCAGTGTTGAGTCTATGCGTTGTGTATTTATGTGTGTATGTGCGTGTATGTATGTGTGTACGTGTGTATGTGTGTATGTGTGTACGTGTGTACGTGTGTATGTGTGTACGTGTGTATATGTGTAGCCCATGGGCTTGTAATTACCAACACGCTGTTCCGGCATCGGCGCATCCACACAACATCATGGATGCATGCCGGGTCCAAGCAAGAACATCTGCTGGACTACATAGTGACGGACCAGCGAATGCGAGCCCATGTCCTTGACACCAGGACCTACCGTGGAGCTGATCTGCCCTCTGACCATCGACTAGTCATCTGTAAGATGCGCCTGCCATTCTTCCACTCCGGTGGTGGGTGTACACCCAGGACCCCATTCCAACCTAAAGTGGCCTGGTCTCAGTTATCTGATGAAAGTTGCAAACGAGAATTTCATCATCGCTTGCGGCTGGGATTGGCATCGTCCCCGACTCCTCCTGATGTCGAGGGTAAATGGGCGAGGTTTAGGACTGTGACTCATGCAGCTGCAATGGCTGCTTTGGGTACGCGGTCCAGACCTCCCCAGACACCCTGGATGACAGAGGAGTTGTTCACGATGGTTGAGAAAAAGCGACAGGCCCACTGTCATCGGCTACAGAGTCCCACGTCAGAGAATGAGGAGGCTTACCGCAGCCTTCGCTCGGAGGTTCGGAGAGCCGTGAGGCGCTGCAAGGATGGGTGGTGGTCGCGGGTTGCTGAGGAGATGGAGTCTGCCTCAGTGGCCCGTGATCACAAATCTCTATTTAACTCCATCAAAAAAGTAACCTGCAGCGCCACACCTATTACCATCATTAGGGGAAAAAACGGCGATCCAATTTCCGACCCCCAGGAACAGGTTCGCAGATTTGCTGAGCATTTCTGTGAGGTCCTGGGGGAGGGAAAATCCCTCAGCCAGGAAAACATCGTGGCACAAAGTGAGGATGACCCTGCTGAGGCTGCGGTGCCTCAAATATTGGATGAAGTCACCCCCTGTGAGCGGCTGGCTGAGGTGCCATCTGCTGAGGAAGTATTGAAGGCGATCCGGAGTCTGAGACCAGGAAAGGCAGCGGGCAGAGATGATCTTCCAAGCGAAATGCTGAGGGAGGGTGGCGTTTGTGCACAGACTGCCCTATATGACATCATAACAACAGTCTGGACCACTGGACGGGTTCCGCAGGATTGGAAGGATGCCCTGGTGGTCCCCCTTTTTAAAAAAGGGGGACCGCACAGACTGTAACAACTACGGGGGCATCTCACTCCTCAGTGTGCCGGGAAAGGTCCTGGCAAGGATTATTCAGCATCGCCTTGCCAGGCACGCTGAGGAGAGGCTTGCGGAGCCCCAATGCGGTTTCAGGAAAGGGCGGTCCTGCACAGATGCCATATTTTCTGTCCGTCTGCTACAGCAGAGGTGTAGGGAATTCCAACAAGACCTACATCTCTGCTTTATTGACCTGGTCAAGGCCTATGATACCATCAGTAGGCCTGGGCTCTGGGTCGTTCTTCGTGCTTTTGGAGTACCTGACCCTCTGCTCACGATCATTAAGGACCTTCATGATGGTGAGCGGGCCCGGGTAAAACTACGTGGCCG